TTTTCTTTCAATTTACACGAAGAATACGCTTTACACTTGTACGCAGTAGTTCGGAATAAATACGGGTCGAGAGAAATCTCGAGAATTGAGCGGAATTTTTGGGAACGCGAAGGGAGAGATTGTCGTTTCATCAACGATTAGCTGTCCGAGCCCCGTGATTACCTTCGTTATGCAGCGGTCAGAATGAGAAGAGAGTGTAGGAGGACGAGGGGAAGGGCGCAGGATCGAAAAGTGACGGGAAGGGTGGGTGATCTTGCGGACTTAATCGGGCATCGGTGCTTTCCTTGGCGAACAATTGACGTCTGACTTTGACGTGCCCCCTGACACTTTCTCTTTTCTTCCTCGTTTCTTTGTCCGATGAGAAATCAGCGGAGAAGTCGAGGCCTCGATCGATGGTCCATCGTCTTCTACCCGCCGCGCGATTCTGCGAAAATTTCAACTCTCCTACCTCGACGAAAGAGGAAAGGTGAAATATGAATTTTTGCTTAGCCGTAAAGATTTCCTTTTAAGTCGGCTGGTCCTTTGGTTCAAGCTCCTCCCGATTCAAAGGAGGAGAGAAGTTTGCAAGAAAAGTGTTTTGCATACTTGTCGGTTTCTCTCGCGCAGGTTTTAAAGCTTTAGCGGCAGTTCCTTTTCTTTATTTCCAACAATGTTCTACAATTGCTCTTCTCGACGTTAAGTCGCCAAAGAACCTGGTATTTCATGGGGAATGAACCCCGTGAATTCGCCTCTTTATTTCACCACGAGACTTGCTTGGAGGAAAGAAGAAACAATCGGTGGCGAGAAAATCTGTATTAACGAGTAGTCGTATCCAATCGACGACGACAGAGTCCCCCCCCGGACCAAGAATTCCGCATTATCGGCCGGGTTTCTCGCGGATACAATTTCCCAACACAATTTTCTTTTCAGTCGCCCGAGCGAATCTAGCCCGGTATGGGGTGGCTGGTGGGTGGGTGGGTGAGAAAGAGAAAGAGTTAGCTTTGATGGAGGGGGAGAACAGAGCACAGCGCAGCCCATATTCGTGCATTGTGGCACGTTCCATCGCGTTCTCAACTGAACTGAACTCGACTCAACAGTGGAGGACACAATGGGCGGTATGAATAAGTATAACAGACAGACACCGGTACAGACAGACACAGGTAGCTCAGGCCGCAGTATGTGAATGAGGAACCCATTTGATAACACGCCTCCACAGCCACCCAGGTCCATTGTGTCGCTTCCTATTCAGCTGCTCTATGCCCTCTTCTCCTCCTATCCCCTCTACGCCTTCCTTCTACCACCCCCACTGGCTTGTGCTGTTCCTGGCTCTTGCTCACCCCCTTCATCCGCTATCTTCCCCTACCCTCGCTCGTTCGTTCCGATATCGCCACGGAAATCTTATCCTATCTGCGCGAAAAATCATGGAGGCGTACGTTCCACGCTTCCGCTTACAGGTGACGGTCTCTCGACGCTCCTTCAAGTGTTCATACAGGGTGATTCGATAATAATTTCCAGAATTACTTGGTTCGTCACGGATGAATGGATGAAAAAGTTGTGTCTCGCGTGAAACGACTAGCGAGATGGAAAGGAAATTTTCATTTGGAAAAGGGCGGTCGATGACAGCGGTATGAATAGGCAGCGTCGGTATCTATTCCACCGGGGACAGTTCGGTCATTACTTTGGCCAGGTTTACGTCCTTGTTACCCGGAGATTGGCCGGGATAAATCCTCGAGCGGAGATACCAACGGGGCTCCCTAAGAATTTTCATCATTTTTACACGAGCACCGCCGAGCCGGAAGGGGATGATTCACAGTCACATCAGAATCCTCTTTTAACGTCGATCTCTTTGAGACGAGTCAGAGGGAAAGGCGCGCGACGCGATCGATTACAGGATGATTCGGTTTACGGTTCCCCGGATGTGGGTCGTATCTTAGACTCGGACGTCCGAGAACTGGTCCCGAATGCACTTTGTAAACGGGCGCAAAGAGTTGGCGTCTAGCGTCGACCATCAATCCGAGTCAAACTAGCGCGTTCCGATGGCCTGGTTACCCATATACATACATTCCGGCCGATTTCGACGCGGTTTCCGCGACGCAGTATACCCAAAGTGAGCGTTGATTAATCTTCTCGTCGTTGGCAAGTTGTGTCGATTTCGAAAGATGTAAGGAAGGTAAGAATCGCCGACCTAACCGATTCCAGTGGAATATTTATCCATATGCAATATTCACAGGATCGAAATGGACAGATATTTGAGAACGGTGAAAGCGAGTTTCCCGGGCGCGTCCGCCGGTTCGAATCGATTTTCTAGTCAATGCCGCGAGCCGGACCGGCAACAATGCTCCGATTTTCGGGATCTCGCTAGCATAAATAGCAAATAGCGAAGGTCCTGTAGGTGTGTGGTTGGACCAGCCAGGGAACCAACTATCCCTTTCTCTCTCTTGCTCTCTCTTGCTCCCTCGTACACGCGCTGGTACACATACTCCGCTCTTCTCTGGGCTCGCTCTCTGGGTACGTACGTGTACGTTGTACACCGAGTACCGACAACAATGAGGCAGAGACAAAGGCCAGGTACAATGCTGATGTTGAACTCGACTGATTTCGACGATTTTTGGCCTTTGCATGTGCATCGCGCGTTACTCGACAATGATTCCCGCATACGTAATCATCGCTATGGGCAGGGAAGGCTGGTACACTCGCGAGGCAGTGGCTCTCACGCGCGCCCTCTTTTTCCCCTCTCTCTGTATGCCCAACACACTCTGCCTCGCGGTGGTCCCGTTCCCGGTCTACCCATCCGGGGGGGCTTTTCAAACCGTTCCCCTCTCTCTCTCTCTCTATCCTCCTCGACGCACAATGACGCGGCGCCATCGCGATCCCGCGAGCCGTTTATCGGTTTAAATACCAGCACCAGGCCGGATAATAATAATTGTAAGCGATAGCCGATTTATGCCCGCAATCAGCCGTGTTTCTAGCGGCCCGCTACAATGTATCTAATCAATGGCAGTTAATGCCAAAAGCGGCCTCGGCTATTTAAATGTGAAACTGATAATTACGCGGCTATACTCGATGCTTAATATTCCGCGAACGGTGCCGTCGTTTCCCGGATCGTCGAGTCGTTGTTGCTTATCAATCGTTACCTAATCGAACCATCCCCCCCCGCCCTGTATACCTGCTCTTTTCATTTCGAAAGGGAGAAACTGGCAAGTGTACGTTCGCGGCTTAGCCCCGCGATTCTTTTCCCCCGCGGGGCCTGGATCGATTGAGCACCCCTGACCGCACCTGAATAGATACATTGTGCCGGGGCAGCCTATTGACGGGCGATTGTTCCCTCAACAATAACAACAATATCTGAATAGTCGTCGTGCACATCTCTCGCGCGTTCCACGCACCCACGCACGCACTCGCCGTTGCACGCGTGCATGCGTGCGCGCACATCCCTTTGCCCACGCTCTCCGCATCCCTTCACACGCGAGCACGTACGCTCTTGCGCCACGATAGAGGACACGGCTAAACAGTTAACGGGCCGCACCACCCCGTCTTTGTGTCAGTGTGAACGCGTTCGATCTTTCGAATCGATTTTTCTTTCCTCGTCCACGGCGGGAGTGCGAGAAATTACTTCGTGTCCGTGTATCGGTTGCGCGTTAAGGGTTGGAAACTGGATCGCGTGTAAATTGGCTTGAATTAACAGGCGAAGGTGCAGCAAGGCAGGGAAAGGGGGCGGGGTGGGTGGGTGGAAGGATTCATTGGTCGTAGAGAAAGATGATGAATGAAAATCGTATGCTTAACGGGCATTAGTTAAATAATTGAGCGTAACGCGGCGTCGTTGTAAAATATTGTTTATTACCCGCTTATAAACAATGGTCAGTAAAGACTCTAGCGAAATGGCCCCGGTTGCGATTACAATACTCCCCGAGCGTGCATTACATTTATCCTGAAAATGTATAAGCCAATTGTAATTATAGCACACTGGTCGATTGTTCGTAATATTATAATAGGTTGCTATATCGTCGCGTACAAAAGGGAGAGGTGTACTTTACACGGGAATGCCTCGCTAATAATTCCATCCCCGTGGAAAGGATAAAAAGGGGGAAAGGAGGAAGTCGCAGCTGGAGTACAACCAGCTTAACGTCGATTGATATATCAACATCCACGGGTAAGTTGTAACGTCGATAATTCTTCACTGCAACGTATATAGGTACGATCAAGTAATTTCGTACGTTCTGCGAGAAAATCGTTCGTTTGATCTCGAATCACCCGATAGAGGCGTTCTTAAAAGTCTCCCGATAACAGAACTCCGTCTTCGATTTTACAATCGTGGCCGTTGCCCGTGTATGCACAGGTTGCATAGACTTGTCTTATCTAACATGCGTTACGCGTAAAAATGAAGGTTGAAAGAAAGGTGAAAAAACGAACGGTGGAACGAAAAAGAAGAAAAGTAAGGAAAGTAACCGGCTACTAAATAACCGACAACGATGTGATTGTCAGATACACGGCCGGGCAACGTGAGGCCAGGTGAATGAAAATTGGCACAATTGTCTGGTGTACGATTAATATGGAACAAAAAACCGGGTGCATCATGAGGGGGGAGCGGAAAATGGCGGAGAAATTTTTCTGCAACAAACCCCTCGCCGATTATATCTGACGATCAATCATCCAGTCAGCGCGATACCGGCGCGCAAAACAAAAAATGACGAGAAAAAAAAAGAAGAAATGCTATGTAGAGAAATTCGTGTCGCTCTTGGAACGCGTGGTTACATACATTGTGTCTCGTTGTCTCTCTGTTTATTATACGTTAGTACGGAGTTGGATTTTCGCGCGCTCGGTACCAAAACGCGCGATCGTTTATTAACGTTTCGTCGACGAAACGTGCTCTCGTCGTTGCTCCGTTCCTCCCGGTTTCTCGCCCCTTAAAACACATTTCCGTGCCGGCCGCCGCTTGTCTTGTGTATCTCTTCCCTCTCGTCTTCTTATCACAGTTAGACGTCGTCCATTTTCCTTGGCGATTTCAATGACCTGTCGCGGGTTTAGAAGAGGTACGGCGACGGTTCGCAGAAACCGCAGTCTTTGCAAACTCTCTGCGAAAGAAAGGAATGAAAAAGTGAAATTAGTCAAGGCCTACCGCGACGCTGCACGGTGGAGAGAATTTGACGGGATCGATCTCGATTCTGTTTTGTCCACGATTTTTTCGGCTCGAGCGAAACGTCCCTCGGGCTCAGAACGAAGGAAGAGAACCGATCGAATCTGTCGTTTTCGCCAAGATTCATTTGGTTCTTTTCGTCGTCTCTCTTCCCGTCGTTCGTGTCGTTGCCTACGAGGTGTACAATCGAGGTGGAGGAAGTTGAACGAAATTAAGGAAGAAATAAGAGAGACCAACGATGCAGAATTTCTTAACGACTCGTTACCGCCAAGTTCACGATAAATTCAAGGATGTTCGAATAGCAGACCTGAGAAGTAAATTTCCAAAGGTACGAATTTTTCATCGCTATGTATCTATCGCAACTTGATGGAATTTTTTTTTTTTCAACCAACTGTTAGGGTATCAAAGAGATGAAAGTGTCGCCGTTGATGGACCTTCTTCCAACGAAAATCTCTGTGGTCGGGGCGAAAATCGCGCAATTCCCTTTCAATAATTATTGGCGAAAATATTGGCCGAGCAGATATTGGACCGTCGGTTTAATCGTCAGTTTACCCGTGTTCTATCAAGTTCGATCAATGGCGGACGCGAGTTGGAGCCCAGGAAAATTCCAAGACCTCAGGCGAGGCGTGGATGCGGAAAGGAAGAGCGATAACGTCGAAAAGGAGGGAAATACCTCACGTGGCAGGGAGTGATTTGTACGAAAACACATTCGGAGACATTCCTAATCCCCTTTGACGCGTTCCTCGCCGGCGGGAGGGGGATGGAGGAAAGATTACGCTTAATTATACCGCGAGACTGTTAAAGGAGAGTCGAAATTACGTGGAAGAATTTTCCCCACCGAGATAGTATAGTATTTATATCTATAGGAATGATCGTAAGCTCGAGAACGAATAACAGTTGGTAGGTAGAAAAATCTCGGGTCTGTCGTGTATCAGAATCGAACATATCGTTTAGTGTACGTAAAATTGTCGCTAGTATTAAATAGGACGTTACGAAAATTACGCTACTGTCGTTTCCTTTCGAATTAATCGTTAATTGATGTTAAACTCACCGTTGGATATTCCTCCGTCAAGCCGTGTTCACCTAAACGATAGTAAACCGACCTGTTCTCCATGAAACTTTTGAAATCGTAACGGGGCATCATTGGGATCCTCATTTGCCAGAACGGTTCTCTAATATTCGCCCCCAAATTTAATATGTCCCTTTCTCTGTAGTATATACGAAGCGGTGGCTGCAGGAAAAATTAGAATTGCTCGTTTTTTTCTTTTTCTTTTTTTTTTTTTTTTTCTTTTACGTCTGTCGAATTCGTATACCTCTCGTTTCTTGAGCACGTCTTCGGCGGGTGTGTTCGGTCTAGAGGAGACTGGCGTTTGTTCCGGTGTCGTCGATTCGATAGAAGGTACAAGGCTGCTGACTCCACTCGATTCGCTCGCGGTACTCGGCGAAATCGGTCTGCAACCAGTCAAAGATCTTAAACCCTGCTCGTACAAAAGTCTCGTTCCCAAGGATGTGAAATGCTCAGGCTCCAGACCGGACAGAGGTAGGGCTATCGTTAATGCCATTCTCCCGCCTTCTTCTTGCAGGCTAAATCTTCGATTTTTTAATCGCAACTTTGTAGATTTGAACGTTCCGACTGGTGTGTCGATGTTGTTTCAACACGACGTTGAAATTCGCTCTTTCGACGTTTGCGATAGAAGCGTCCGATCGTTGGAGATCGTTACGACGTCAACCGACCAACTGAAATTTTGAAAGGTTCTTACCGTGTAACGTGCTGTTCTTGGTTGAACGTGCGCGTGTGTTGCGCGTGCTTCGTAATAGGTGTGTTTGAATGTAAACATTACCTTAGCGATATTCGATCGACGTTATTAGAGATGTATACCAATAACGCGGTAGAAGGGCCTTGCGTCTTCTACGAAGCCGATTTAATTTCACGAACGTTAGAGGAATTTAGAAATTGAAATTTCTTTTACGGTTAACAAGCGGTTGTAAATGATCGTTTTCACGTTCTTCTTTCCACTCCTCTCACAGTCTTTTCTTTTTCACTAGTTCCTTATGCCGGAAGAATTTAGAAAAGTATTTTTTATGCAGGGTTGATAAGTAAAAAATACGTTGTAATTTGCAAGGGGTAAAGATGTGTTCATTTCTTATCGACAGAAGGAACGATCCTTCGTCGGTAATAGTTTACAGATTCAGCCTTTACCGACGAAAGTTCACGTAGCGTACTTTCTGTTCCGAGGATACGCGTTCGCATAATCGAAGATTGTTTCTTTACCGACAGCTGTACACTTATGCGAGTACAGATTTTATTACTCTGTCGTTACGTTTCGTTAGAATAATTTATGAGAATTCAAAGTTAATCGTAATCTCCGCGATCTGTTGAAATTTATTTAGAATTTCTATAATTATCTTCCCTCTACTTTGAATCTACCTGTTTCATGCTATGGTAACGAAGATTTCTCTAAACCGACCCCGTACTTACCTTTCCATATTGTCAGTGATCGTCACTAGGGGGATGTTGACTCGATCCACGAATACGGAGTAATATTTCTCTTAATTTTTTAACGATAAATAAATTATATTCAATTTACCGAAGGTTAGATCATCTACGTTACCCTCTCTTTATGTTTTTACGTGTTTTCTCAATTTTACAGGCAGTATTATATCAAATAAGTGTCGAAGTAGGTCTTTCTCGCTAGTGTTCGGTAATACCTTCGATTTCTATATAAGGGTGGTTTATGAAATGTATCTCCGTGGTCCGGTACTACTCAGGTACGTCTCCTTCCTCTGTTCATCCCCAAGAACCAGGAAAGTGATGAGGGAAGAAAAGGTTACGCCAAGGAAAGAAACAACGCCCATCGCAGATTCTGGAAAATTGTTGCGGCAACCCAAATCATCTTCTCACATCCAGAGGAAAATGGGCGCGCGCGGAAGCCCGGGAGGAACCCGGGAAGAGAAAAAGCAGAAAGAAAAAGGAAGTTGTTCCCAACCCAGCAGCAGCCAACACAACAAAGCGTCTAGGACGGACCCAGCCTCCTGTGTCACTCGAGGAAAAACCCCAGAGCCTGACGCCAAAAGGTCTCGAAGAAGGGATGGAGGGGACACCGTTACACCTTCTGCCTCCTGTGCTGTGTTCTTCTCCGCCAGTCTTCCGCGAATTCGAGGAGAAAGGAGGACCCCCTCTCTCGGTACCAAGGTGGGAAACTCCGCTCCCAATTAAAAATCTTCAACCAATGTTTGAAGAACAAAACAACAACTAACGATTAATTTCGGACTGTAGTAGTACTCACAAGTGACCACTTTTTTGGATTTTATCACCGTGAAATTTCTTTTTAAGCATTGCAAAATTGCACGTGCTGCACCCTGTGCAATAAAACTGCATTTCCCTGCTGTACCGACCTATGGAACTGCACTTTTGCTTCTTACATGCACCGCTAGAGTATCTTCCTTCTCGAGCAACCCCTATTTGGGGGTGTACGTTATCTCGCCGTACCACCATTAAGCCTTCTTTTTTTAAAGGAAATTTAACTATTTCACATGCTCGATTGTGCCAGGTAGGATCAGGGACTAGTTTGAAATCTTCTTCGTCGCATAATTCTCGAAAACAGCTGAGAAATATCGAAGTAACATCGATGGCTATTAGAACGTAACATTCCACGACGTTCTATTAACTTGTCGTTAGAAGTGTAAAAGGGAATACATGTTAGAAATGGTAGAGATTGAAGTTCGTACGGTGTTCGACTGCTTTCTGTTTGTCCATCAATGGCGTGCTTCCCCGCGAACCGGCCTGACCACGTATACCGGGTGTCCGGTTCGCGCGCGCCGCACTCACCGACCCATCCGGTGGCCCTAGCAACGCACATGCGCCCTTCTTGGATTCCCGTCTCTCCTGTTTCTCTCTCCGGATGGTTGGGGATTGGCCCGGAGTAACACCCCCTCATAATGGGTTCACCCGTCCGCGCTGAGCGCGGGAGAGCGACCGAGAAAGAGACGGAAAGATCGTGGAAGCTCGTTGGAAGAAGCGAAAACTGTAGGTGGAAAGGAGAGAGCAGGAGCAGAGTAGTAGAGAGAGTCAAAGACTGAGCGAACCAGAGTTGAGCGAGAGGATGAAAGACAGGGAGAAGAGACGAGAGAGGGAAGAGGGCAACGGAAGCCATATTGATTTCCCTATGTTTCCCCGTATTGTTACTATAGCGCCCGGTGAGGGCGCGAGGAGAAGGCAGGTACCACCCTCGTCAACCATCCCGTGGCAGCCACCCCTCGGCAACCACCCCGTACCAGCCAGCCAGCCAGCCAGCCAGCCTGTTCTGTTCTTCCAACCGACGCTCGTCCGACGAGAGAGACTACTATGCCTGCTGGACGTGGATTCCCTTCTTTCTCTCTTTTTTCCTTACTTTTTATTTTTCCACGCGGCCCTCTGTCTCGCGTACGAGCTTCTCTCCGTGTTGCTCCTCCTTTTATTCCGCTATCGGTTGTTGTCGTTGTCACCACCGATTCTCGCGACGTCGCAATTTTTCGACCGTGAATCTCGGGGGCGTCGAGGTGTCACTCTACGATTTTCCTCCAACTGGATGTTTTTAACACCGAGTCCTTCTTCGATCTTTCGGAAGTTTTCGAGTTTAGCGAAGACTAGGTGAGGGAGGGACGAACGTGAGTCACGTTTAGTTGGAAAAGCCATAAACGTCTGTTAGAGTCGCGATTCGCTCGTCGGGAGGAGACCTGGACCGGGGTCCACCGAGCTCACGCAACAAGGATCGTTGCGTGGCTTGATACTTCTCTCCTAATGTCCAAACACCCCACAATGTTTCCACGAAAGGTACACGGAGCCAGGTACACACCTGGGTGGTCCATGCACGATATCAGCTGCGAAACTTCCCAGACGTGCCGTTTTTCTGTGCCTCTCTCTCTCTCTCTCTCTCTCTCTCTCTCCTCTCCTCGGGAAACGGATAGAAAGAGAAAAGGGGGCGAGAAGGAGAAGGATAGAGGCTAGCCAAGAGGGTGAGAAAGAGAGAGGAGGATAGTGAACCGTGTGGTTGTTACCTAGTGATGCATGGCTCGGTAATAGCTACAATACAACCAGCTTACAAGAGGGGTTCCGTTTCTATCCCGCTCGACGACTTGAGATTTATTGCTCCCCGGTGGATTGCGGATTCCCAGATTCTCCGGTTTGCCCTTATAAATGACTCCTATTAATTGACCGTGATGTGAGACGGGAAAACATTGGAGTAGAAGAAATCAAACGGTAATAATCGTGGAAATTACGGCTTAAGGGAGAGGACCGTGTACTCGTTAGTATTTGCACGCACGGCAAACGTAGCCGAGCTTTAATTTCACGATACTTGTACCTCGATACTGGTACAGCCTGTTAATTACAAATGCAGGAATCGCTTATGAATCGGGTATAAAGATAGCTGGATATTTGGTGAGGAAAAGGGGTAAGAAATAAGCGGCGTTTCGATCGATTGTCTCAATTCACCGTACAGACAGTTGGGCGCACGTCGTTCGCGATTCAGGGATTTCGACACGCTGGCACATTCTGCGTTCGTTTTCTCCGCGACGTGTCGCGTTGCAATCGGTGGTCGTCGTCCAGGCTTTAAAGTGCCAATCAGGGGATGAAAAAGAGGCGGAAAGGAGAGGGGGTTTGGACGTCTACGAAACTCGTGCCGCGGCCACGTGTCGTGACTTGTGCGTGAAGAATGAAACCAGACACACCCACTGTGCACGCGAGCGCGGACCCCCGTGACCGTACGCGCGCCCAGGAACCCCATAAATGCGATCCTGGCCCCGGCATTAAAACCGTGCTAATGCACTTAATAGCGAGTTGCCGTGCGTGCACGCGTGAGAACACGCGTGGGCGGGGTAGTTGTCAAAACACACGTGGAAATAGCGATTTCGTTGGATACTCCTCGAGATTTATTTCTCTGTTCGAAGATTCGCTTGGGAAAGGTATAATTTTTTTAATTTCGACTTTCCGCTCGAACAAGTTCGTCGAAAGTCGACCAGAGTCCCTTATCAGATGTGGTATGACGACCGTAGAAGTGGACAAGGGCCAAGCCTCCTCCTCTGCCGCTGAACCGAAATTTATATGTTCTCGCGTGTACACGCGGATGATCTTGAAGCGCGTAAGGTGTTCCGAGTCGTGAAATTTATGTAAAATCATGCACACCGGACCGCTGGCCATATGTGGCCCTGCCGGTAACCGCGTAATAACGTAAGATTGAAGGTCGCAGGTAATAGGCCATTCGGCGCATCCTCGTAACATGTAAAACACCAGGATTACGGGATAATAACGAGGCTGGGAGCGAGTTTGTGTTTGTAAAGTTTACCCGACAACCGCGTTATTCGACCGTCTGTGGATCGGACAGCGGGAGAGAGAGAGAGAGAGAGAGTGTGTGTGTATAATGAAACGCCACGGCGGATCGTAGGGTGTCCGCGTAATTCCGCAGCTCCAAGTCTCCACGGTTCGAAGTGGACACTGGGGATTCTCTCCGGCAATGCTACACACCCCCCGTGGCTTTAATATCGCTTTATTAACCCACTTTGCCCGCGGGACGAGCTTTCTCCC